CAACAGCTGGCATTCTGTCCTCCCGTGGACAGGCCACCACGTGGTTCTCCGCTCAGCCGACAGCGTTCAGCTCGTTTCTGCTGCTGCGGACGGAGGTGTGCTGGTGGGAGTGCGGGTGCACACGTTACGCCGTGTCCGCGTCCGGGCGACTGCCCGCTTCCCCAGCCATGCACAAGCGTTCCAGTTTCTCCACACCCTGCCGACACTTACCTGTGCGATGCTGAGGAGGGCGGTGGGGAGTGGACGTGGCCCGGTGTCCACGCGGTTCCCTGGGCATTTCCCGAGGGGCAAGCCACACGGAGCATCTTCTGCTCTGCCGGCCGTCAGGACGTGTCTGGAGAAACGGCTGCTCAGATCCTTTGCCGGTTTTTAAGTTGTGTTCTGAACGCTGACCCTTAGCAGGTTAATGTAAACGTGCACTCCGGTTCCCAGCGCGCTCTCCACGGTCTGGTGTGTGTGTTCTTTATGGTACAGGGATTCGTAGTTTGTTTATTATTTTTTTTTTAGAACTCTTTTATTTAACTTTATTTTATTTGACTAGAGAGGGACAGAGTAAGAGAAAGAGAGAGAGAGACCTGGCGGAAAGTGAGAAAGCAAGCCCCCAGGTCCAGGAATTGAACTGCCTGCTGGGAGTCCAGCGCCGTCAACCACCATGCCACATGCCAGCCCCGGGTTTTTCATGCGGTCCAGGGGATCTGTTTCTCTCTCATTGCCTATGCTCGTGTTCATGCGGTCCAGGGGATCTGTTTCTCCCTCATTGCCTATGCTCGTGTTCATGCGGTCCAGGGGATCTGTTTCTCCCTCATTGCCTATGCTCGTGTTCATGCGGTCCAGGGGATCTGTTTCTCTCTCATTGCCTATGCTCGTGTTCATGCGGTCCAGGGGATCTGTTTCTCCCTCATTGCCTATGCTCGTGTTCATGCGGTCCAGGGGATCTGTTTCTCCCTCATTGCCTATGCTCGTGTTCATGCGGTCCAGGGGATCTGTTTCTCCCTCATTGCCTATGCTCGTGTTCATGCGGTCCAGGGGATCTGTTTCTCCCTCATTGCCTATGCTCGTGTTCATGCGGTCCAGGGGATCTGTTTCTCCCTCATTGCCTATGCTCGTGTTCATGCGGTCCAGGGGATCTGTTTCTCCCTCATTGCCTATGCTCGTGTTCATGCGGTCCAGGGGATCTGTTTCTCCCTCATTGCCTATGCTCGTGTTCATGCGGTCCAGGGGATCTGTTTCTCCCTCATTGCCTATGCTCGTGTTCATGCGGTCCAGGGGATCTGTTTCTCCCTCATTGCCTATGCTCGTGTTCATGCGGTCCAGGGGATCTGTTTCTCCCTCATTGCCTATGCTCGTGTTCATGCGGTCCAGGGGATCTGTTTCTCCCTCATTGCCTATGCTCGTGTTCATGCGGTCCAGGGGATCTGTTTCTCCCTCATTGCCTATGCTCGTGTTCATGCGGTCCAGGGGATCTGTTTCTCCCTCATTGCCTATGCTCGTGTTCATGCGGTCCAGGGGATCTGTTTCTCCCTCATTGCCTATGCTCGTGTTCATGCGGTCCAGGGGATCTGTTTCTCCCTCATTGCCTATGCTCGTGTTCATGCGGTCCAGGGGATCTGTTTCTCCCTCATTGCCTATGCTCGTGTTCATGCGGTCCAGGGGATCTGTTTCTCCCTCATTGCCTATGCTCGTGTTCATGCGGTCCAGGGGATCTGTTTCTCCCTCATTGCCTATGCTCGTGTTCATGCGGTCCAGGGGATCTGTTTCTCCCTCATTGCCTATGCTCGTGTTCATGCGGTCCAGGGGATCTGTTTCTCCCTCATTGCCTATGCTCGTGTTCATGCGGTCCAGGGGATCTGTTTCTCCCTCATTGCCTATGCTCGTGTTCATGCGGTCCAGGGGATCTGTTTCTCCCTCATTGCCTATGCTCGTGTTCATGCGGTCCAGGGGATCTGTTTCTCCCTCATTGCCTATGCTCGTGTTCATGCGGTCCAGGGGATCTGTTTCTCCCTCATTGCCTATGCTCGTGTTCATGCGGTCCAGGGGATCTGTTTCTCCCTCATTGCCTATGCTCGTGTTCATGCGGTCCAGGGGATCTGTTTCTCCCTCATTGCCTATGCTCGTGTTCATGCGGTCCAGGGGATCTGTTTCTCCCTCATTGCCTATGCTCGTGTTCATGCGGTCCAGGGGATCTGTTTCTCCCTCATTGCCTATGCTCGTGTTCATGCGGTCCAGGGGATCTGTTTCTCCCTCATTGCCTATGCTCGTGTTCATGCGGTCCAGGGGATCTGTTTCTCCCTCATTGCCTATGCTCGTGTTCATGCGGTCCAGGGGATCTGTTTCTCCCTCATTGCCTATGCTCGTGTTCATGCGGTCCAGGGGATCTGTTTCTCCCTCATTGCCTATGCTCGTGTTCATGCGGTCCAGGGGATCTGTTTCTCCCTCATTGCCTATGCTCGTGTTCATGCGGTCCAGGGGATCTGTTTCTCCCTCATTGCCTATGCTCGTGTTCATGCGGTCCAGGGGATCTGTTTCTCCCTCATTGCCTATGCTCGTGTTCATGCGGTCCAGGGGATCTGTTTCTCCCTCATTGCCTATGCTCGTGTTCATGCGGTCCAGGGGATCTGTTTCTCCCTCATTGCCTATGCTCGTGTTCATGCGGTCCAGGGGATCTGTTTCTCCCTCATTGCCTATGCTCGTGTTCATGCGGTCCAGCGGATCTGTTTCTCTCTCATTGCCTACGCTCGTGTTCATGCGGTCCAGGGGATCTGTTTCTCCCTCATTGCCTATGCTCGTGTTCATGCGGTCCAGGGGATCTGTTTCTCCCTCATTGCCTATGCTCGTGTTCATGCGGTCCAGGGGATCTGTTTCTCCCTCATTGCCTATGCTCGTGTTCATGCGGTCCAGGGGATCTGTTTCTCCCTCATTGCCTATGCTCGTGTTCATGCGGTCCAGGGGATCTGTTTCTCCCTCATTGCCTATGCTCGTGTTCATGCGGTCCAGGGGATCTGTTTCTCCCTCATTGCCTGCGCTCGTGCTGCATGTCAGAAGCAGTTGTCAGGCCAGCCACTGGACACGGTGGTTGAAGTGGCCGGATGCCACATGGCTGGCTGTGTAGTTTGAGTCCTGGACTCTGCAGCTTGAATATCACGCCTGGCACGTGCGTGCATGCCCACGATCCTGAGAGAAAAATGGAGGAGAAGGGATCGCGGCGTGGCCGTCCCCCTGGGGGGCTGCTTTCTCATTTCCCCTCTCTGTCTCTCTGGTGAAAGCACATGCCCTATAGCAAACTTGAGGAAGAGAGAGAGAAAGGCAGAGAGGAAGAAAGGAAGAAAGAAAAGAAACAGTTACCTAATCAAGGGTTATGGTTTGTACCCATGTTTTCTTCTGAGGGTTTTATCGTTTAACTCTTTTTTTTTTTTTTGGGGAGGTTTTGGCTATGGGGGCCGGGCGCATG